TCTGGCTTCCCACAGAGACTGGAAATGTGTGTTGAGACTAGAAGCAAATCTTAAACACAGAGGAGGCTTGAATGCTTTGAGTTAGAAACAGCGATTTTCTAGCAGAACCCCTGATTTTGGCACCTCTATTTCCCTCATAAAGTATTGAGGAACATCTGCTACAAACAAACAATTTCCACAGCGAACACTGGTGACTGGATGCTAAATCACTTGTCACTTCCAAGACTTTAGCTTGAGATCATTCCCTGACATTGAGGGTGTCACAAGGATGATCAGGGGACTGGAGCACCTCCCGTATGAAGACAGGCTGAGAGAGCTGGGGCTGTTCAGCCTGGAGAAGAGAAGGCTGCATGGAGACCTCACAGCAGCCTTCCAGTATATGAAGGGGGCCTACAGGGATGCTGGGGAGGGACTCTTCATTAGGGACTGTAGTGACAGGACAAGGGGTAATGGGTTAAAACTTAAACAGGGGAAGTTTCATTGGATATAAGGAAGAAGTTCTTTACTGTGAGGGTGGTGAGGCACTGGAATGGGTTGCCCAGGGAAGCTGTGAATGCTCCACCCCTGGCAGTGTTCAAGGCCAGGTTGGACAGAGCCTTGGATGACATGGTTTAGTGTGAGGTGTCCCTGCCCATGGCAGGGGGGTTGGAATTAGATGATCTTAAGGTCCTTTCCAACCCTAACTATTCTATGATTTTATCTACAGCACTAAGGCTCTAGTTGTATTTCCAATAGCTTTCCTAAACCACAGATTCACCAGATGCAGTTATAACTGTGATTTATAGTCTACTGTTGCATAGTACATTTGGTAGTAGACACAGTACCTTGAGGAGGTAAGTGCTCTCTGACAGCCCACTGATCTCTACTTTGCTGCTCAAGCGCACGCCAACTTTGGCTAAATCTTTTTCTGGAAGCCCATTCAACACCCAGCCTTCATAGCTGTACAAGTGGCTCTTTCTGCTACTGAATCCAGGGTCTGTGGGGAAACAAGAACAATTTTTCACAATACTTGCAAGCACGTTCCAGGAAGTAGAAATTACAACAAAGTCACCAAAAGAAGGCCATAAAAGGAAATTTACTTACCAATATCAACCTTCTGGCTACCTGCAAAAAGAGACAGAAAACAGATGAGTAACTGTTTGTCTAGATCAAATTGTTGCCATTGGCCTTAAGGAAATTTTGGGAAAAAGAGATTAAGGGATATGTAGGCTTACCTACAAAGGCGAGCGCTAGTGCAAGTATGATTCCCTTCATAGTGAAGGTGAATGGGGCTCTGCTTGTCATGGTGAGACTTTTATGGAAGAAAGCTCAGGAACACGTGGCCAGGTTCTGCTGAATTCTCAAGTTTTTTATCAGTTTATGTAAACACTTCTTGCAATCATACTTTCTCTTCAGATGGAATAATGGAAATCAAATCATACCTTGGCATCTCACTGATTTTTTCATATAAGCCCTTTGCTAGATTGTTCAAAGGTTTCTGTTTATCCCAGTAAAACAATTTTACCAGGCTGTTTACAATAAATTTATAATAAACACATTACTTAATTTCCTAGATTGTGTCACCAGCTGGCTGCTGGTATTCAGTCACAGATCAGCTTGTTTGTGCCCTGGTTATGCTGACCTGGCATCTGACCCAAACTGTTATCTCACTGATAGTGGCCCAATTAACAAAGTAGCATCAGTGTCACATGCATTAAGAATGCCCTTTCTCTTCACTCAGCATTGGTTTACAGTTAGCACTGTAGGCAGGAGACAAGGACAGCTAAACCTTTGCTAGTCTTACATATTATAATCTGACCTAACATCCTACTGAAAACCTGTATATATGGAAAATATACAGGTGTATTCAAAATAACAAACCCAGGGATCAGCATGCCCTTTCAGCTCTGGTCACACTGACCATGAATATTTTTTAAATGCACAAAGATTTCATAAGCAATCTGTAAATATTTTATCTTCTAAGGTAAATGACAGCTAAACATGAACAATGAAAAGCTGCAGAGAGCGGCAGCAGGGAAGCAGGGGGAACAGGAGTGCAGGTCAGCTAGATCTTTTACATTTGCTAAGGAGCAAAATTCAAAATGTAGCCAAGTGCCTGACATAGGCAGGCATCACTGATTTACAGTGACAGGCCAGGAACAGATTCACGTAAGCGTTCTCTTTTAGAAATGTCAGGGGCATGGAGGCAAGCGGAGATGCACAAAACACATTTGCCCTTTTTGGGTATGGTAATACACTGATAATCAAAAAAAAAAAAAAAAAAAGGAAAAGTTAGTTTTGGTGTGTCCCAGAAAAGTTACAGTCTTCCAAAGGGGGTCATCCAACCACATTTTTGGGGGGACATTATCAAGAAATACCTTCATGATTATGAATTTATTATACATCACAGGTGACAAACTTTTCTTTATTATGTTGTCAAGCTCTTCCATACAACTGTAACTTTTTTTATTGGATGTTTCATTAAAACAAGCTTACCTGTTACACATTCCATTTAGCTGTATGTCTTGTACAAGTCAAAACTTGCACAAAAAAGGAACATGGGTACTGCATCAGGCTGAAAACTGCAACAAAATGCAGACTGTGGGATTTTCATTATTTTAATTACAGTGCAACTGTGAACAAGAGAGGTCACAGATAGTGCCTGAATGCAAAAAATAAATCATCTGACAGTCTGAAGTTTTCTTTGGGCATCAGTTTTTGCATGTAACTAGATCAGCCTTTCATGTTTTGCTGTCTACTTCTCTCACAAGTCACATGGAGTGTAGAGGAAGGGATGAAAGTAGATGTCTTCAATGTCTTCACAGACAAAAACCGCAAAGTACAAAAAAAAATTACAAAAATAAAGCAGCAGCACAAGGAGCAGCTAAGCCAATTCAACATACACAGCATTGCCATTACTCTGCATATATATTTATTTTCCTTTTAAGAATTACCTCCTTAAATTGATAGATCTTGTGAATGTATTAGTTACCTTGGCCTGTATAAAGTGTACATACAATAAACCCTAAGGAAAAGCTAGGTTACGGGGGGTGGTTTTGCCATACACATGGGAATAGTTTTGTCCTCCTCTAACTGCAATTTTTTGTCCTTCTGTGGATCTGCAGAAGCTGGTGGAAGCAGTTCTTCAAGTCAGGAGGAGTGTGGCTGTTTTGGAGGAAGAAAGCATTAAGCATGGTATTTATGGTAAAAGAACTCTCTCATCATGTAGACTGAAAAAGCAGCAATGCATATTATTTTTAAAGATTCTGTGACATGAAATACAGTGGTTTAAGAGAACCACTCATCTTTCCAATGTCATGCATAGGTAGCTAACAGTAGCTGCATGCCTATCAGTCACTGGTAGTCAGTACTTCTTGTTCCTTCTGAAGTAGGCCATATGCACCTGTGTGTAGTAATGCACCTATACTACATTCTTGCAAGCAGTTAATTCCCTTTGCTCTTCCACATTCTACAAGTTAAGAAAAATGCCAGTCATTTCCACCCCAGTGAAGTGTTGCAGTGTCACCGCACTAACCAACCAGACCATCTGTAGTGTTCTTACCATTATAAGCAGTAGCTTCAGATTTAAAAAGCTTCCTCATCACTGCATAGAGAGCAATCCAAAAACTCAGGCATCATTTTCTTTCTTTATAGGGACAGGGCTATGAACAGAACCTATGCCTCAGGCTTCCAGACCAGGTCTGAGGAGGCAGCTCAGGGCTCAACTGCATGCACAGACCTAGCACTGTTGATTCTTTCATGGAGGCATTTAAACAATTTTCCACTTCTATCAGACATGATACATTAAAAAATAGCAATTAACAAACATTTTGTACTAACAATTCAATAGGCACAAAACATTAAATAGGTAAATTTAGTTCTTCAAATGCATTATTATCCTAAAACTTACTATCATGAAGAAAAACTGTCTAGTAAGAGTCCCACTAAACTGAATGCCTCTTAAGGGATCATAATCACAGCCCCAACGAGCACACGGTAATACTTCAGAGCAGTAGCAGCCCCTAGTGGCATGCTGATACCGCCTCAACTATGGATTCACATAACATGTCAACTTGAAAGTAAGAATTCTACATGTAAAGTACTGTCAATATATTAAGTTTTCCACATTACATCTTTAAATACACCTTCTGAATATGTATATTTATTCTTCCATGGGTAGAATTCAGTCAAGAGCTGTCCAGCACATTGTGGGGAAGGTGTAAGCCTAACAGTAACTACACGCTACTAAATGCTTTCAGCAGATGACATTGCTATGATCACCTATTTATTGACAAAGAACTGTAGAAGAACTAAAAGATAAGAAATATGATATTTGTATTTCCAACCTGACTACCTCTGCAGCAGAAAGCTGACCAAGAACATTATATACATCTCTGCTTCCTTAAGGGTGCTCTGCAAAAACCATACAAGTATCCTATGCAGATTGCATTGGCCACTACTTCATCTCACTCAATATGCAGAGCTAATCAGCAGAAACTGCAGTTGTCTTAGCTTCCTGGAGATCCCCCCTTTCTTCTCTTTTCTATGATACTCAATTCCTGTTTCTCTAGGTGGCCCAATCACTCCATTACATCCAATTCTGAAAATAATAGGCAGAGCAGCAGTGTGTTTTCAGTAAAGGATTCTAAGCTTCAGAGTTAATTTCCTTCCTATGAACGTAAGAAAGGCACAAGTTTCTTAGGCATCTTCCAAAAGCATCAGAGCTATGCACATGGATTCACAGGCACATGGAAAACCAACAAAGACAAGATTGATTTGTAATGGGCAAGGAAAAACTGCATGCATGGAGTCAGGTGAAGGAGACTGAAGCATCTTACCTCCACTTGGCTATTTTTATTACATTATAAACAAAACAGATTTCCCAAAAGCTACAAAAAAAAATAAATCTGGAATTGATTACAAGGTGAAACTAACAAAATTCCAAAGCAGCATCGGATTTGTTGTCAGTAGACAGCCTGACATCCATGATAGCTTAGTGCATACAAAAGAGAGAACCAAGGTTTCTTAGAATAAAATTACACATTTATTGTTCACATTTGAAATAATCTGGTTCCTCACTGAACCACTGAAAGCCCTAATGCATCTGTAAACTCAGTATCACTATAAAACAAATTTAAAATGCCATGTAAAATAATACTATGTATGCATGTGTTTCATTTCATGGTTTCTCAGCATAACCACTTTGTCTATTTACAAATATATAAAGATTCTGCACTTTAAGTCATCTGAAATATCAAAGAGGTATTTTCAAATCACACAATAAATATAGAACCTGTTTTGTTAAAAATCTACAGTATGCTGTACATTCAAGTTGAGGCAAAAGAAGTTTAATGCCAGTTACACTTGAGACATAACTGAAGGTTTCCAATAATTAAACAACTTCTAAAAGTGCTATCTCTGCCTGTGATGAAAAGGAACACAAGGATCCAATATTTTGTTACAGTCAAAGTGTCAGACTATTGCTTCATTCACAGAATCAGAGCTTTATTACTAAAAAAATATCAAAGCTTTTATATATTTTAAATTATCTTCTTTCACAGTTGCAAGAAAATGAAGCAAAAATGGTCTAAAAAATAAAAGCCATGTGCACACACATACATACACACCACAATTCAGATCACCACATAATCCTCTAGAAGAACAAACTCATGGCATTGTTTCATTTTATAATGAGAAGTTTATGAACCAATCTCCAACCAAAAAAAAACCCAGCTGGCAACCCTAGGAAGTCTAAGGCAGTTTATGTGCAAGTTTTCTACATAGCAGAGTGCCAACTCCAGAGTCTTCCCATGACTTTGTGCATTACTCTGTTTGTTTGTCACTTTCCACCCACTGATTTGGTATGCTATCTCCAGCAGGTCTTCTTAATGCAGCACTGGAACTGGGGAAAAAAAAAGGCGAATGTTATAATGCAAATAAATTATGCTTAGGATAGACATTTTTATTTAATGTATTTTGCAATGTAACAATCATAAACTTCAGATTAGGCTTTCCGTAAGTTATCACAACTCAGTCTCTGCGTAGAGTGTACCACTATAAAACCAACCTCATTTCAGATACCTGTTACGTGCAATATACTGAGATATCTGGCAAGGTTCTGCTGAAACAGGACCACCCAACATACAGTGAGGTTTTCTTTGTCGAGATGTAGATTTCAGTAATCGATTGTCTTGGTCAGAACCTAAGAGAGATACATATCAACAGTTAAACTACAGTGCAATCGAAAACATCTGAAGGACTCACTTCTTTGTATGTTCTACTTCATATAAAACACCAAATATCTTGCAGGATGCCTAGAATAATAAATCTTATTGTTACAGATTTCTATAAAATTTTATGAGCACATGTAATGCTACTGAATGAAGTTATGTTCAGATTAGGATTCGACACTTGAAAGTGAAGCATTTACATATACAATCATCACTGCACATAGTCATATTAAAGTCAAGTTTAAAGCCACTCAGTAAAGTAAAAGTTTCTTCCAGCATATGGTGGATACAGTAATCAATACCAACATGAAAAAATGCAAACTTGTCAGAGTACAGGGAAAAAGTAGAAGCACCAAGTTAAATGCTTTAGCATTTATATGAACTTAACTATCACTAAAGTTGATGGAAAGACAATGGCCAAACTTGCCAGGGCCAGATCAATCCTTGCTAACTCTTCCTCACACTTAGATTCCAAAGCTTTCATATGAAGTGGAAAAACAGAATGGTTCTGTATTCTGCAGCATCCATCACAGCACTACAGAATTAAGAGCTTTTGGACAAGTGTTGTGAAAACCAAAAATTCATCATGAAAACAACTCTAATAAACTGTGGAATAATATCCAAATGGTGCTCGGACTCTGTGTGGCAGACATTTTTGTTTCTATGACTATTATCGAGTAGCTTACAATTAGGATATATAAAAGATCAAAGAATGCCATTTAGAAGAGAAAAATCACATTAAATACATCCAGAAACAATAGAATTTGGAAAAAGGCAATTAAAAAATCAAAAAAAGTTTCAGCATACAATGAATGTTAAACAGATCTCAAGTTGCTCACAAATCACTAAATCAAGTCATTCTTCATGAGCAACAGTCAAACAATTTTAGCTCTATTCCTAAAAGCTCTCCTACTGTGGAAGATCATTTCATGCTTACAGAAAGAACTGCACAAAGAAGAAACAAGGAAATCCCAGAACATGAGGCTGGCTAGTTTACCCAACAAGAAAACAAATTCAAGCCATCTTCACTTGATAGATGTTTCACACATTTTTTAATTGTTGGCTGCCATAACAAGAATCTTTTTAACAGATTGTTGTTACTTTTTCCTCCCCCATTCCTTCACTTTTGATCTCAACCCCACCACACAGCCCTTAGAAAGTACTGAAGACTCAGTGATGAAGACCAAAACACTGCATGTGCATATTCAGGAATGAGGGCACGGGAAATGAGCTTACCAGTTTGAAAGAAAAAAAAAAGAAATACTTTCAGTAAGTATTCTAAAGCATACATAACATGGCCATTTTGTCATTTTTTTTCCCTGACATTATTCCTTTATCGAGATACAAATCTTAAAATTGTTTATTGCTCAAATTTGTAATCATTACACTTTTCACTTTTTTTTCCAAAGGATTCTTTTCTTATTGAATATGTATGTATGCATGTTTCATTACTACATCATTAACGCTGCCACCTCCACCTTATGATGTTCTTGTTCCCAAAACTTGTTGCTTATCTATATAGATCTTTATAGGTCATGATTTCTTCAACTGCCTTGGCAATTAATATGCTTACATTTATGTTCATAACTCTAGAAACTCCCTGTTCATAACAGCTGTACTGTCAGGTACTTGACATTTAACACATCACCTCACAAATATAAAATCATTACATAAATAATTATCATCAGGGAAGGAGTTATAACGATTCCCTTTTTAAAAGGAGATGTGCCCTGACAGGCAGAGGCACAGATACCTGGTAAAATTTGCCTTGGGAAGTGTTAGGTTGGGGGATTTTGGGGTTTGGTTTTTTTTTTGTTGTTTTTATCTGTTGTTTTGGGGTTTTGTTGTTTTGTTGTTTTTTTTTTTGGAGGGTGGGTGTTGGGTTTGAGGGGGGGGTTTATAGTTTTGTTTATATTTGCATCTTCTAACTGAAAGAAAAGAGGGAAGGGAGGAGGAAGGGAGAGAAAAAGCACATTACAAGAACATAGTTTGAACCAAATACTTGCTTCCTAAGAAGGCACTTGGAGTTGTCACATTTTCAGAGTGCTTGTAATCAGTAGAAATACTTAAGAACTGTTGCTTCAGCCATGCTCCTCTATCTTCTTCAAATGCCTTTCTCTAAGAAAAGAAATGACAGTTTACATTTACAACCACAGGAACAAAGTTACTCCACGTTCATGCTATTCCAACTAAGAAAAAGTTGTAACATGTCCATGTAATTCAGGAGAGACAGCCGTTTAACACAGAATTACAGTCATGTGAACAAGCTTTTGAATCCAACAAGGATTAGCTGAGAAAGTATTTATTTTCAAGCCAACTCCCATGGTTTGTTTCACTGAAGTCTGACTAATCCTTTCATTTTACTGTTCTCCACTCCAGTGACACCATCTCCTATCACTACCTCCTATGCTCCCCTTCAGTGTAGCACTACCTCTTGGAGGTAGCCCCCATTTCTGCGCAGCTGCCAGTAAGGATTACTGCTTAAACCTCAACCCTGAGCCTTTTCCTTGACAAAAGTGATACTGAAAATAACACTGATTAATTCCATCTGAAACTGTGTCAGAAAGGGGTTGTTTTATTTCTGTCATTGAGCACAAAAAACCCAAGGAAAATAATGGCAAAAGACAAACTCCAAGAAGATCCAATGCCTCTGGAATCAAGCAACAAGCTATTTCATCTCAAAAATCCATCAGTAAAACAGGTTCTACAAGTTCATTCTAGTCCTAACCTTAAGAGATTAGGTGAACAGTACTGCTTTTATCTGACCAAATGAATCCACAGTTCTATCAATTTTAATCATATCCCACTCCAACTTTTTGCTCTGCATATCAAAGCAAGCAGTTCTCTAAATAATAAATCTAAGGTCCATTTCTTTTTTCCTTCAATATTTTCCTGCCGTAACTGTACAATCATAGTTTCATGACCACACACATCATCGTGGCCTCCTTCCCCTGCTAAACTTGTAAGCCTCTTCATGCACTCAACCATAACTGCTGGCTGGACCAAAGAACACACATGCTCAAGCTCATTTAGAAACACATCTATGCCAGCCATGTTCCAGTATGTGTGCTTACTGGCCAACTTCACTACAAGAAAAGAACAGATAACCTTAAGGAAAAGGCAGCAATTACTTTGCATTTCTGAAATAGTCACTGGTTTAGTCAACAGTTCAGGAATCTAGTACCTTTGAGAACTCAGAGAATGCAGCCAAATCTGACCAAAACTTGCATAAACCTTGCTTTTGTAGGAAACCAAGCTTAAGAATTATCTACTAAAGGATTTTGTGATTAAGTGGACTGATTTTTGGAAGTACTTACATATTGCTGAAACAAAAAATTAGTCATTCCAATTGCAGCAACTGTATTTTCTATTACACAAAAAAATCCTACTTCTTTGGTTTAGTTTTTTGTTTGTTTGGTTGGTTTTGGTTTTTTTTTTATGCCAACCGAATGATCTACAATGACCAAAGATATGTTTCATATAGTATGAGAATGATCTTTCTCTATAGATTTTAGCAAACAGATATTGTTGGATGGCTGCACTTCGGTGTGTATAGCAGTAAAATTACTTAATCATGACTCATCTTCCATAGCAGTTTCCTTTTCTAACACCTTCCCACTTTTTTAATACCTCAAGTCCTAATCTAATAGCAGCTTCTGTAAAACTCCTTCGTTCCTTCTCAAAATTCTTTCTTTGTTCTCGAAATAGTCTCCATTCTTCCTGAAGACGTTCTCTTTCTTCCAGTAAATAGCAGTCCTGTAGTAATACAGTGGTGTCATCATCACATGGACACATGAGCTGCTGCTGCAGATATAAAGCAAAGAGATACAAACATTGATTTGGGAGTGACTGTTAAGAGAAGAAGAACTTCCATGGATTTTCAGTTTTATAAAGAAAAATGGCTGAAGTTTATAATAGAAGCAACGTAGTGAGTATCAAGTTAGTGGCTGGTAGGGGAAGAGTTCCAGATAGCAAGCAGAATGTCAGTCAGCTGATGCCATCAGTCGTCTTCACCTTTATCCCCCCAAATTATTCTTACCAGGATTACCAGCTCTTTCAACTACTAACCAGCCCACTAGCACACCTATACTCAGACTAGCCATTGAGATGTTTTATTTCAAAAGCATTATTTAAAAAAAATGAGAAAGGCTCAGAGGTGAGAAAAGTGACAAGTTAAAAAACCAGCTTAGATTCAGATGAGAAAAAGTAAGAAAAATTAAAGTCTACTACCTGTAAAAGCTGTTGCTGAGTTTTGATCATTTCTCTGCATTGCTGGATCTCCAGCTCTAGCTTTTCAGTTTCCATCTCATGGTCTTCTCTTGAAATGACATCTCTCTCATTCAAAGCTCCTGAATGTACACGTGATACTAAGGGGAAGGAAGAAAGCTGCTTAAAAGAAAAAATACAAAACCAAAACAACAAAAATCCCTCATATCAGGGACTTACAGCAATACCAAAAGATTTTAGACTGTTTGTTTCATCCTGAAAGATATACACACAGTGTTCAAAAGCACTACTGGAGATGAGATCTAGAATTGGTGCTACACACATAGCTATGCACTAAATCCAGCTCAGGAAAAAAATAGCAATGAAAACAGCCATTTCACACCCCTAAAGGAAAACCAAGCATCTGCACTGCAATAAGCGTCATACAAAACCCCCCACTTGTTTCAGCAGTTATTTAAAAGAAAACAAGTGAAGAATTTCTTTTCAGTAAAGTGCTGTTAGTGTATTCTTCCAAGCCCACTTCTGAAGGGCTTGTGTGTTCATAAAAATGACAGCAACTATATTTATCGCAGATATAAAAAGATAGATCTTTCCTTCAAATCCTGTGAAGGAGGAAAGGAGCTAACAAATATCACAAGCACATTCTCATCCCAGTAAGAGAATGAATTAGAGAAGAATAAGATCTATTTTGTGTAATTACATACTGCTTTAATTTCACGCATAGCTATCACAGTGATTGTAATAAGCCAAACTTCAATCCCCTGATGTCAGTGTTTGAATATTAATTGAAACCTGGTGGACTACATTATGGCCATTTCTATAAATCAGAAAAAAACCAAAAGGTGACTCCAAGAAAACAGCAAATGCTCAAAACATTTTTCCTGCTGCTTACAATTATTTTTCCAGTTAGCTACACCAGATCAAGTATTACTTAAAACAAATCCTTCCTATGACATAAATGTATTCTCACATAGACCATCTGCTCTTATTTGCAATTGCATGCATGACCTTCTCAGTCTTATTCTTGACTGCAGATATCCCTGTAAGCAGCAGCATCTGCTTGCATGGGAAAATAATACTAGGAAAGAATTTTATATATTTTTAGCTGTCTTTTAATGCTGTTTAACAGCTGGAAACAAGGAGGGTTCATCACCACACCAGCAGCCAGTTCACTTTAGAATGCCATCAGAAGCCTCAGAGGTATGGTTATGGCAAGCCTAGACTCCCAAGATGGATTTATGTATTTTGCCTCCAATCACTTCAAATTACATCTGCATTACTTGAACATTCCAAAAAGCTGGGCAAAGGCAACAAATTGTAGTACAGGGCATGTATGCTCAAAAGAAAAACAATTATGTCTTTGTAAAGTTGCTGTTTACTGTGTCAAAATATAATCATGTCCTTTCTCGTAACAACAGGCTTGGTATGCAATCACTCCCTACAAATGAAATTCACACAGAAAAACTATAAAAATCACAAGCCCTTTCAGAAAGGCTACCAGGTACTTCCTTCCGTTTTAGCTTAGACAATAAGTCTTCAGGGCATGATACCAAATGGAATTATTAGTAGTACTTTACATGAAAATGTAATACAAATAAACTTCACCTTGGTTATCTAGCTTTTCAACATGATTTTTCAACATTCTCCACTGTTTTCTAATGCTGTTGGTAAGCTGTTCTCGCACAGTTTCACAAGACAGTTCCCACATATTCTCTTTATTTAACTCTCCAATATCTTCTTCCAAGTCTGACAGCACCTGTAGAAGCAGAAACAAGAAGGTGTAAACCACTCCACTATTTCAAATACATGCACTCATTGATTTAAATATGTATACGGATTTAATTTACTGAAGGGAAGAAAACCCTTCTATACAGGACTGATTTTTCCAACCAGGGAAATATGACTGTCAGGGAGTTTAGCTCCTTACCAGCATGTTGAAGAGACAGAAGTGACCTGGCAGTCCCCAGAATCCCACCACAGACGGAGTATATCAGCTAGCAAGACTTACTCTCACACATATTCAAGCCAGGAGTTCAGACTGCTGAGTTATGCTATCAAACTTAAGCTGTAGCTGCCCATAAACTCACTATGCAGCATGAACAGGATTTAAAGACAAAGATTTTCTCCTGTTGAGAATTAAGTAATTTGTTTCTGCCTCATTTTTCTCCATGATGATAAAACAAACCCCAACCAACCAAACTACCACACTGACAGTAGTGGAGCTAGCACTTCCTTCTTCCATTTTTCGCTACAGTTCAAGCATCAAACCTGAATGCTATAGTGAACAGCTAGCATATAGAAATCTAAATAGCAAAGAGAAAACTAGCCCAGGACAGTTCAGTAGGTTTAATTTGAAAAGCTATAGTCATTTGAATAACTGGCATGAATATTCCACTCTTAAGCATCTAAATCATTCTACACAATCCCCTTGATCTACAAGTAGGCAAGAAATACTGGATGGGAAGTACAAAACCATAGTAGCCCATTAATACTACAACAGTTAACAGATGCTCATCTAATCAGTGGTTAATTTCAGAGCACTAAGCCTGTTGTTCCCAAGTTTGTTTCAATACACAAGTTCATAAGGACCCCATTCCCACAGCTGGATTTTCACCAGCTTACTCAAGACTGTTCCAAACTCTCTTGGCCTCACAGCTGGACCATTTAAAGAACTGATATCCAATTACGCTTTATACTACAAATTATACCAGATACCCATTACAGAAGATCAACTTCTCATTGCTGAGCTATAGTAATAATTATATCTACATAATCAACTTCTAAAGTAAAGGTTAACACACAGCACATTACAGACTACTGTACTAAATACACATGGGAGTCATTCTGTGTGGTATACAGGGCAAGTCATCCAGTGAAGTTAAAGAGTTTATTCACACCTTACGAAGGTGTGGCCAGAGTCTCTAGTGCTTTTCCTACACAGTGCATTCTAAAGCTGAACAAATGCACCTTAGATAGCTCAGAAATAAAGGAATAGTACAGCAACTTGAACAGGTGTCCTGGGTTCAGCAGTAGCAGTCATTTTTCTCCTTCTTGGTAGCTGGTGCAGTGCTGTGTTTTGACTTTCAGCCTGGGAACAGAGCTGATAACAAGGATGTTTTAGTCTGACCAAGGACTTTGTGAGCCTCATGCTCTGCCAGGGAGGAGGAGAAGCCGGGAGGAAGCAGAGACAGGACACCTGACCCAAACTGACCAAAGAGGTATTCCATACCACAGCACGTCATGCCCAGGAGGTAACTGAGAGTTACCCGGAAGGGCTGGGAGTCTGCAGGGTCGGAGGAGGTATGGGTCAGTGCTTGGTCGGGCTGGGGGGGGGGGCGAGTTATCGGTTGACTGGTGGTGAGGTGCTGTATTCTCTTCCCTTGTTATTTCCTTTATCATTGTTATTATTGGTGGTAGCAGCAGTGATTTGTGTTATACCTTAGTTACTAAACTGTTCTTATCTCAACCCGTGGGAGTTGCATTCTTTTCGATTCTCCTCTCCGTCCCTCCGGGAGTAGGGGGAGGGAAAGAAGAGGGGGGAGTGAGTGAACGAGTTACCTGACTGGGTTTAAACCACGACAACAGGACAGCTGATCTTCTCAAATAGCAAGCACTAGAGCCCACAAAAAGAGTACACTCTGACAGGCTCTATCTACACATACTCTTTCTTATGAACATGTACTATTTGTAATATAAAATGCCTAATACTTTGTTCTGTAGAGTATCTGTATTCTCTTAATACCCTACTACCAGTACATCAATCTTGAGTGATTCTTAGAATCTAGCTTTTATGCATGTTTGCTGTATTTCAACTCTATTTTTATGCTCAGGGACTTGGCTAAGCAAAAGCTCAGTTAACTTTCTAGATTATTCCCTAATTCACTCTGACATCAAGACATAACTGCAACTTCTAGCAGGGAATCAGCAAACTGAATGATAAACAATGAATGTGCCCCATACTGTTCCATAAAATAAATATATACATATGCACACACTCTGTAAACAAAGAAATACCTAAAGCCTGAAAACAAACAAGAAACCCCACAGAACATTTTCCTTGAAATTACCAGCAGCTCTGTAAAAGGAACCAACAACTACTCTAATCCATATAGGAGCACATCCTAATTATATATCCTCCAGCTCCAAGGATCCTATGGAAAGCCTGGTTTCTTTGCATAAGCACCTTGAAAGCTAGCATCAACATTTTGTATGGAAGGCAAACAAAATCCCAAATGCATCAATACATAGAACTACATACAGGTAGCTACTGCATTCACAATTTGCTTGGAGTATACTTTCAAGCTTTCCATTGACTGGCTGGGAAGAATACTCTGGGTATTGTTAACGGTTAGTAGGTTACTTGTTTAAGTGATTTGTTTAAACTGATGTGCAAGCCACAATAAACATGAAAGTTTACTTTTACTTCATCTTTTTATAATTGTGAAAAGACTCCAGCACTAAACCACCACACAGATTTAATTTTAACTGAAGAATACTTACCGGCCCATCTTCAGGCCGTTCTTTAAGTTTCTGTTTCTGTGGTGGGAGAAGCGAAATAATCTCTTTCTTCATTTGCTGAAGAACTTTTTTCAGCTCAGCATTTTCCACTAGAAGTTGTTTTTGGCGTTGTTCATAATCACTTAACAGAACTTTGTACATTTCTTCTTCATTTCTGGAGGAAGAAATCTTACAGTAACAACATAACAGCCATAACATAAACTTCAATTAATGTTGTTCTAAGACAACTACCTGGCTTCTGTCTTATCAGTCCTCCATGCACCTCTCTTCCCATCAGCTCTACCAACATAATTTAGAACTTCCATAGCTACAAATGAAAAGGATATTTCAAAGCGTGAACAACATGCAAATACATAACATTCACACGACATTGCATTTACATGTAGTTATTGTCAAGAGACCACATTACCCAAATATTCCCCTCAATCCTCCAACCCATATGAAACCACACTGCCCTGCTTAAAGTAACTGAACAAAATAGCCAAGGAAAGAAAATAAATTTGTGTTTGGAAATTCATGGAGGGATGTATTCTCATCCTGGTTTATACTTTCTTATGTATTTCTTAATGACATCTTCATCCCTATTTCAACCTTCATCAGAGGTTTATCAATTCTAACCTCTCTTCTGCCAGTAATGCCAGTTATACCTGCAGTTTAGAGTAAGCAACTTCCTAATGTGCCACAAGATGCTCCTTAAAACAAAGAGGCCTCTCTTTCCACATTTAAAGAAAAAAAAATCTAAATAAAACACACACAAAACACGACAACCCCAAAAGCACGTGAAAACAAAACCCAGACCCATCACTACAGATAAGTGGTCCAAGCACAATTCTAGTTTGCTATCAAGCAAAGAATAACTAGATTTAAACCCCTGCTATTTTGACTTCACTGATAGTTGAGCTAGTACTAGCCAACCGCAGTCAAGAACATGCCACAGGTAAATTTTGCTGACCACAGGGTGAGGCTTCTAAAGATTACTGAGCTGACACCTGAAGATTTTCTGAAGCCAGAATAGGTGTTCCTGCTAGTATCCTAATCTGGTTTAGCTTACCCTCAAGCACTTTCAGCAGACTAAACCAGCAGAAAAACAGCTTGGCAACAATATGAATAGTTTTCTTCTGGCTTAGTGAATTAAACCAGCTTACTAAAACACAACATGCACTACAGCTAGAAAACAGCTAAGTGTTTTGGGGCTGGCAGGAAGGATAAGACAAGAAGAGCAGGACTTCCACTGGAGATAAATGACACAAATACGCTAAGGTAAGATATATGAACCAAATCATGCAGATATTTTTCTTAATACATAATACTGATACCCATTTTTAGCAGCACACCACAAAAACCATACTCATGTTAAATAGCACTGATGCTTTGAACACAATTTTTAGGCAGCATAACATCTGAGTGCTCATATGATAAAGGAGATTTCATTTCACAAAACACTAGGTGCTACATATGTCATATAGCTTCCTCTCCAAAATTTCTCAAGGCTTGTCCCTAACACAAGTAGACTTTAGTATCTTAAGGGTGGAAAAAAATGCCATGCAGTGTTCCTTCCTGATTGCAACTGGTGAGCATAATAAAATATTTACAACACTAAGGTCTCGTGATGGCAGCAGCAATTCTAAAGTAGAGGAGAGACAGCTCTATCTCAGGAATTGATTCCAGATAATTCCCCCAGTAAAAAAACCCTCTCATTTTGGAATGATCTCCATTTGGTTTGTGCTTGGTAAAAAACCTTATAGAACAATGTAAGTTAGCCTTACAGAGTCAGCTGACTGGAAATATTACATCCTTTACATAATGTTCTAACATCTAAAGACCTACAAGGGGCCATACTGACTTTAAAGATACCCAGAACATAAAAGCATTGTTAACATATTGAATATGCTGGTTTGCTGTAGTAAAATTCAGAGCTACTTACCTATCTTTTTGTCCTTTTTGTTCATGACTAATTGATGTAAGCGCTCCTTTAATTTGTTATATTCTCTTTCTTTCCTCTTCATATCATGATTGTACTGTGTAGCTCTGCTTGAGATTATGTTCTGCAACTTCTGTACCTAAAAGCAACGCCACAAAAACTGTATTTTTTTCAACTAAAGCGTAACTACAACAGATTTATCAGAAAACCAAAACACAAGAAGCAAAATCATAACTTCTAATTAAAACTGTCTTTCTGGTGAAAGGAAGTGACAAAAGGAATCAGAAAAACCCTCCCAGCCCATGGATTCTGACCTCAGACTTCTCAGGGCATTTGGTGTCTTTTCTGCAGAAACCAGTATCACAAGCAACATATTATAATACTTGTTAGGTTTACACTAAAAATAATAAAGTACTAATCTTCTGGGCAGCAGGATGCTGGAAGACAGATTATTCCATTTGGTTTAAAAGAACATTAAAACATATCATAAAACAAATTTTTTGGCCAGCACTACCAATACCTCGGCTTGGGGTTTGATTTTGTTTTGTTTCTTGGGTTTGTATTTTTTTTCTCCCCTCCCCTCAATCGTCAGTTTTAAGCTTACAAACAAACATACATCACATTGAATATTTTAAGCTGCAACTTCAGAATGTTCACTATATATATATATAGTGCTGTGATCACTAACTGCATGAATAGCTTTATGGTCACAGAGAACCCTCACAGAAACTTAAGAGCCATATAAACAAGGGGGAGGTGCGGGAGGTGGTACAGAAGAGGGGATGGGAGGGAGAGAAGCACACTGGACACAAATCCTAAACTAAACAGCACCTTGAATTTCAAAGTGTCTTCTGATCTTGGTTCTTCTTTTAAACTTCTACGATAAAGCTATGCTCAGAAGTACAGAAAGCCTCAGAAAATGGCACATATGCATTTCTGCACTACTCTCTCCAAATATTATAACTTGGACCTATCCCTAACAGAACTTATGTATCCATATGCAACATGCCAATTTCACTCTGGTGAAAGGTAACATTTACCAAGAAAATCAGAATTCAATGTGAACAATTACAAGACTCACTAAAATAAAAATATGTTGCTGAATATCTAGGTAATGACTTGTGTTAATGTACATGACAACTCACTTCATCCTTTTCATTTTTAAGTAACTGGTGCAAATTTCTGTTCTTGTTTTGCAGTTGTCTGTCTCTTTCCTGAAGTCCAACTATCTCCCTTTTAGATAATTCCAACTGTTCCTAGGAAAGAGTGTTGATAGCTCAGTATCAGTAAGAAATAACAGCAAAAGATTAACAAAAAACACACCCTCTAAAAAAAAAAATAAAAAAAAAAAAAAAAACCACAAACTAAACATACAAACCCACAACAGAACATACAGACCAGAGTGCCAAACCACCTCACTTGAAGTAAGTTTTCCTATATATTTCTCCAATGTTTTGGGGATGATCTTGCATTCTCAATGACAACTTAGTTCTATTTCCTGGAGCAAGAAGTATGATTCCCCAGTACAAGCAACACTCCTTCTCACAGGTAACAAAAATTTGGCTTGGTCTTTAACAGGAATTACCTCAAATTGAATAATAATCTTAAAATTACTTAATGAAAACTTTTCATTAAGTTGGGATTCTGTAAGCATTTCTTTACTGGGAGGGTGAGGCAGATACTGAACAACCTGTATGAACTTGGGGCTATGGTCCCACTGGAGTATTTCTGTTAAATAATCAAGAGAACAATTAACACAGATATGTAGCCTGTGACCACAGCAAAACAAACAAGCTATTGCACATACGTAGAGTAAGGCTAAAGAGGCGATCTCATTATAACACATTATGCAAAACTAGAATTTTAGACTTTTTTCCACAAATGTGGAACTCAAACCCAAAAATGCCAACTTAATTGACAGAGCCAAACACTACATACAAGCTCTTTTTCTTTGTATATATAGTATTGAGCTATGAATGTGCAGAGATATTTAAGTAACAAGAATTTCTAAGCAAACCACACTGGAACACAGGCACAAAATAGTGTAAGTCAAGACGTTTGCTGCATGGTATCTGAAAGAATTTACACAAGAAACTTTGCAAGCTGACAGCTAAATTAAATGCCCTGGGATTGAAGTTGTACTAACAACGTACCCATCCCAACACCATCACCTTAATGCTATTTGTCTAGGGAAAGTAACTGGAGTGGTTACCCAGAAGCTAGCATTATATAGTATTGGTATAAAAACTGAGTGCAGTTACACACGATTTTTAACACCCTGTAGAAATGCCTCTATGTGGATGACCTACTATATTGAGAATCTACAGCAGTATTTGTGAAGGAGAGAGTGCTGGCCAGCTCCAGTGAAAAACTAGCCTGAAAAGCTCTGAAACATACACTGATGGTTTTTGTTTTCCTGACAGAATCAAGGGAAAGACAACACTAACATGACTGCACATGCAAGCGCCCATGAATTAGCATATGAACTTCCAATTTATCAGCTACTCCACAGGGATTTGCCTTGTGTATGTGTTTATCTTGTGATAAAATGAAGCTTAGTAACTTCAGGCTTGACAAGAGTTTGAGCAATTCGTATGAAGAGAACTTGTAGTTGGCTATCCAGGGAATACAATAGAAACAGAAACACCCATCCACACACACACAAAGCGCTACAGATAGGGGAAAGACTGATAATAACCCTGTGACACAGTACAGAAAAGCTAACTACAGTTTTACTAGTTACAGTTATATCAGGAAATCAACTTTTAGAGGTGGGCATAATTCTTTTAAGTGGTACTGAATGGTGACCTGAACTATTTAACATTTTCACCCACAGTATGCATTAACAGTCTCTCCTCTTCCTTGATTAAAGAGGCCATAATTCTAAATATGAATTAGAACTGAAAACTTACTAACTTTACACATCTTTCAACTGGAAATATACTTCCCAAAGCCAACCCAAATTGCACATTAAAATACAACTCCCCGTTAGTACTGGGGAAAAAAAACAAACATTCACTGTTAAAAATGTTACAATCTGTTAAACAGAAGCACTGAATAATAATTGTGGAACTATCTTGGTTTTACCTTTAATTTCGCATAGCAGTTCTGTAAGTGATCCATATCACTACCCAGTTTTAGATGCTGCATTTCTACTTCTTCCTGAGCTCGAAGGTTCTTGTGCTGCAGTACAAGCAATTCATTCATGCAATTTATGATAGATATTAAGTTTAATTCCTTTCCTTTGGACTCAGCATAAATAGAGGGAAAACCCAGTGTTGTCAGTTCCTGGTAAAAGACAAGGGGGGTGGAGAATAAATAACTAACAATCTTCGACAATTTTCCAAAAGTGAGAAACAGTATCATGTGCAATTCTATATTAATCTTCTCCTATATTCCCACACCATCTCCCCAGAAAAACCTATTTCTCATCAACTTCAGCTTCTGAGCATCGAGAAAAAAAGCCTTCTTAATCCAGTGAATCTGTACGACCGCAACTGATGTAATGTCACCTTCACACAATCACCAATAAACAGCAAGAACTCACCCTATCAAGATAGGATACACTCTCTTCAATATTCTCTTCTGTGCAGAAGGCACTGAGAAAGTCATGCATACTTTTGGATGAAGGCAGTGACAAACGCAGCACTTGTGAGTTCATACTTGGGGAAGAAATACTTTTATCTGAGGTATACTGAAAAGTATTTTTGCTATCTAAAAGTTAAAAACATTAAGAAACAAGTCAGGGCTAATAGTTTAGGACACACAAAAAGTCAAATCCCTTACCACCCAAATTATTCTTTACAGAAATTTACACTTCTAGAGCTTAGAATGTTACTTGGAACTACATACTGAACAATTCACAATTAAAAAAAAAATAATAAAAAAATAAAAGGCGTAAGCTTCCACCAAAGATTGAAAGACTTAGTATCTTAAGATACTAAATCCTTTCAAATTTTACTCATCTGCCAAGATCCACAAATTTCACTATTCCACTATATAGAAGTAAAAGAAACCATTTACTCCTTTGATACTTCTGTAATCAATTTATGAGGCAAAAAGAACATAGAATAAGTAAAGAAACCTCTGAAAATACAACATATTCTGAAAGGTGTGACCATATGTTAAGGACAGTATTTTACAGCAGCATATCTGTACAGACACAATCCAAAATGAAAAAAACAAAGCACTGCAAGTACTATATATTATTTAAATAGTCTGCTTAACTAGTCAAATGTCATGCATGAAACTCCAATCACTCTCTTAAGTGCTATAACATCACCAGTAAAGATACCAAACCCAAAAAATTCAAAAATATTACCAGTTTACCTGATGACAGCACTGGCACAGTAATAGTCTTCCAGTCTCCCATAGCAACAAAGACAGGCAGGGTACCTGAGCAACGGGTTCAGCAGTGAAGTATTTAGTACAATTGCTGGCAATGTGCGTTACGTAGGCATCTCCTAAAATAGCAAGAGCATTTTAGATTAACAATAGCAGCTAATACAGCTAGAAGATTAAAGTAGGCGTAAGGAGTGATTATTGGACTTGAGCCACATGAAATTTTTCTACTTCTTCACACAACATTTGGAACACAGTAAGTACAGTAAATATTACGCCATAAAACTGATGCATATATCTATATTTAGCCTTAAACTTAACTAAGTCTTGTAAGCCATTAACTAAAGCTAGAATGCCATGAACACATGAAAACAAAGACTCACACTATACATAACTCAGTTACTTCTGTTGATGTACATCAGAGGAAACACAGCAAACCAAATATTAAATATTTTCCTGCCATATGGCTAGGAAGCAATTTTATTAAGGTAAACTTACGCGAAGTTTTAACATAAATTTGTGTGAGTGGGATTATTACTTAAATAGAAGGATAATAAAGAGAAGATATATTGACAGAGCACAAATGAACTTCTAATAGGTATTTAGCCATTTAAATTTAACTTAGCTTATACATTTGGTTTATTCTAGGATTCCATATTGCTTTTCCCTGGCTTTCTTTTTTGCAGAATATCCAAAACTGTTAAAGAACACAAATAGGAGAACCCTTACCCTAAAGGAAAGCCACAGTCATGAGAAAGAACAGACTGCCCCCTCACCCTACCTCCACTGCACAGTAGGGTGGCATGTAATAGCATTAGAGTTACTACACTGCTGGAAACTTAAAATCCAGCTTGGATGTTTAAGATTCAGACAGCACAACTCATCACCTCATGAACAATGATACTTAAGGGAAACAAACTCTTCACCTAGCAGGAAAAAAGTACCCTTTTTTTCAATTAGCACTTTGGAACAAATTCTCACATCACTTTTAGACGGACTCTGTAGACTTCTAGAGCACAGGGATCTTTTCCCTGCCCTTCCAGTAATGTTCCAATAAATACACTCTGGATAAGCAACTTCTAAGTTTCTGACACCAAAAAACCTTGTATTTTTATCACTGTGGAAAAAGCTATTACCTGTGGAAGGGAGCAGAAAGGAAAGGAAGAGGGAAAAAAGACCTCTTGAAAACAGAGACAGTGAGAATCCTTATCAACATTTTAAAGTGAAGAACACAGTGCCCAAAGTAGCATCAATTTTTTAAGAGATCATACCGGTGTACAAAATGCTCAGCACTATAAAATAAAATGAGCAGCTGGATATTCTTCCAGATTCATAAGTTTACTTGGAAAAAAAGGTAAACATCTGTTCCTTAGATGAGTTGAAAGCTTGCAGGAACTGCTGAACTACATATCAGAAAGTACAGGTTAAAGCACCAAGAAAACATAGTCAATGTGACAATCTAATGGCTGTTCTTTAGAAACAGATTTTTCTGCTTTCTCTCTGCCCATATTCATTTATGCACATTTCTCAGGTAGTCCATCGTCCCCCCCCCCCCCGGTAAAACCAAGATGCCCAATGTTGATTTGTTTTGTTGTTTGTGGCAGTGGTGTTGTTTGGGTTGGTTTGGTCTGGGGGGAGGGAGGCAAGGTGGGATGGGGTAGCAGTAGGCTGGTGGTGTTTGGTTTTTTACACCCATCCAAAACAACTATGCTTTTAAAAATGGAATTCAAAGTCAATCTATGAATTAAGAGAACACACATCTTACATGTCAGTTTCATTTCTGTTAGATCTATTAGAGAAACCTGCAAATGCAAGGGGAAAAGGCAGCAAATTAAACTACAGGTATATTCTTATTACTGACATTACAATCCTGCATTCTAATAAAGTATTTCAAAAGATCGTGGAGAAACTGAAGACATAAATTCCATTAAGGACTGCTGGAAAGTCCACAAAAATACTATTCACATTTCAGATATGCTGTAACTTTCAAACCAACTGGCTATTATTCTTCAATAGACTGCATGCCCATTATGAGATCTTATCACCCAGATTCCCTCAACATATGGTATTACCAACCCACAGGCCTCTCTACATTGACAATAGTATTCTGACACAGCATCTATCACACCAAACAATGTTTGACTGGAAGCAGAAACAGAACTAAAGGATGATTGCGTTCCCACACCGGGACTAAATTTGAACCCTACAAGCCACATGCAGATTCATTCAGATGCTTTATCAAGATTCCTCTCAAGTGACATGCCGCTTCTAGGTACACCAACAAAAGGACAAAGAAAATTAACACACAAACTCAGGTTCAGAAACACGTCTAGTGAAGACAGAGTAAGCAAGAATACATAGGCAGTACAATAAAATCCAGATAATGCAACTATATTCTTCCCACATTAATCAGTCTTGAAAGTTCTAGAGCCTTTTGTCTTGAAAAGGCCACCTGCAGTACACTGCACAGTGTTTTAAAATACATCAGATTAAAAATTACCCTCAACAATTTCTTTTTTTTTTTATTTGGAAGTGCCAAACTCAAACTTCCTTCAACTGTTAAACCACTACCTTAAGTACCCCAAGTTGTTCTGTGTCAAATAAAGCAGTAGCTTTGAAGCAGTAATTCAGCACTCTGTACTTGAAGCATCTTTATATACTGTATTTAAAATTAAACTCAGATGTGCAGAACAAGATAATCCCATGTCAGACACAAAAGGGAATGCTACAAGCATTTAGTCCCATGCCAAGATCATTTTATCAGTTCCACATGGCTTCTACTGCCAGTTCAGGACCTTCACAATGACCTCTAAAGCTGTCTAGTGATTAAGATCCACTAGCTATATTTCCTTACCAGCTTAGGCAGCTCCTCTGTAGCAACACAGCTCAATATAGCCTCACTGAAGTATGCAAGAGCCGAAGACAAGCATTCCTGATGAAGACAGCGTGGATGCAAAATTAATTTAGATTCACTGTATTCAGAAGGGACCCTAAACCTTTGGTACGCTACAGCACTCTCTTTAACCACCATAACGTACCAAGGAACATATTCATGTAGAAGCGGAAAATGTGTTACTCTGAAGCACTATTTTGCAAAATTATGGAAGAATAATAAAATGCATAAAATTGAGAAGTACTTTAGGGATGTCCAAGGTTATCTTAGTTAACACAGAAAAACTTAAATCAAACAAAACCAGTAAAGCTTTGTGGGGGGTTTGTGGGGTGGTTTTGGTGGAGGGGTTTTGTGTTGTTTTGTTTGTATTTTTCCCTCCTCAAATCCTGGTTGGGAAAACATGCAGCAGGAAGCACTTTCCCAGCATCTCACACTAATGTCAAAAAAAAAAAAAAAATCTAACAGAAACCTAAAAACAAAGGAAACAAAAAACCGTTAACACAGGCCTCCCCAAAGCACAGCCAGTTAAAACCAGAGAGCTTGATTCACACCAAGGAAGCAGTAATCAAACCAAGGCATTCAAATGCTTGCTGGAACAAGTAAAGTATAAAAAAAAAGAAAGCCCAAAACAACAAAAAACACAAAACACACAAAACTCTCATGGTAATAGCATAGCAGAACTTGATTCTTAGAAAGACACCTGGGGAATTTTTTGACACAAGCCTACAGGAATAATTCCAAACTCCTACATGATTCACTAACAGATACATCTTTCTTTTCAAGAGCAAACGTAGATTAAACTTCAAAAATAGTACATTTCACAAACCCAGAGAGCTGAAAGGAGCTGTTCTTAAAATTACTGGTTTGTGGTTTGTGGGACTGGGGAGGGGTTGACAATCAATGTACCAAGATTCCAGACAGAAATATGATTAAGTAAGCCTGAGTTTAGACCATATCACAATTCAAGTATCACTAGCAGTAAGAAATAGGATTATACACTTTACACAATGCAGCATACTTAAGAGTTTCTCAGTATCACGCTTGAACTTGAAAAGGAGTAGTTGTAACTGGGTTTGTAAAAAACTCATTCAGACAATCAGAAGAGAATCCCTTGTCACAGCACTGTGCTGTGATCATGTTACACCATCTGGTCATCTGGAACCTACATAGGGCGTGACACAAATGGGAAATGCAGTATCTGGTAACCCAGAAAACTTTTCACCCCCCAACACAGAGAAGATAGGGAAAGATAATTTTTAGAGAGCTGTTTTCTACCTGCCCCCAACACTGCAATGCCTTGGAAAAAAATGTAAAAAGTCAGTACCAATCAGAAATTGTCAAACATTCCTTCTCTGCATATTTCAAATACTACTACAAGCTGGCACATATATACATCTCAACTTGGAAAACTTGGGGGTGGGAGGTGGCGTAGTTAGCATTTATTTAAAAGGCGATATGATTCCTTCTACTAAAAATTATATCCCAAAAGGAGTTGTGAATCTGCTTAAAGCTTTTACATTTTTCAAGTAATCCAGATGCCTTTTACAGATGGCTTTTATCTGGGTAGACACAAAGGCACATCAGGCTGTGTAAATTTAGGGTACACTCCAGTCATGACATTGTGGGTTTACAGATATATCCCTGACACAGTCATGAGACATATACTTGTTTTAATTCATAAGAGCACCATAAAAGTCCATGCATTTCCTCCCTAGAGTTTTGACATTCACTCTCTCTACAGCTGTTTTAATAATACAATTTACATTTGGCACTAAAAAAGGCTTATATCCAGTGATAAATTCTTAGAGGAAGGTAATCTTTCAACTATAGTTATTACACTTTTAGTGACCTTTATTTAACACTGTAATTTTAATGATGGGTGTTGGAATCGAAGGAAGACCCTGGATCTTTCCTCCCACATTTACGAGGCTCTGGCAATTTCATTGTTATTCTATTAACTGCAAAATGAGGGTGGGGAAATTCCCTTCACTTACCCACATTCAATGGGAACTTTCAGTAATCTCAAATTTCCAGCTAAACTTCTCATGCTGCCAGAAGTAATGTGAAAAGGCAAGTCAACCACCCAGCCTATGGGTATTGAGTCTCTGCTGGATTCTGAGCATATCACACTCAGAAAATCCCAACTATATTTTTGTTTTACTTATAAAGCAAAACAAAAAATAAAGAGTAAGAAGAATATAAAGTCTTATTTGATTGTCTCAACATATATAACCACACAAGAATATACTCTCACATCTGATAAAAGCCAATGCTCAATGACTGTCCTGTCATTGCCTCAAATACTCAGGTTACAAGGCACATAATCTGATCTACTACCTCAAGATTCAGCTCTACCTTTTAAAAACACAAGACAACTGAAATCCTGTTAACGCAATCACTGAAAAAGTTGAAACACATGAAAACGTTTCATGTTCCCAAATTCCTACCCCATTTTGAACTAACACTCAGCATTTCCTTATTACTAAACAATAGCACTATTTTTGTTAATATTCAGAACTCCATTTCTCTGTTTGCATTCACAAACGATTTACTACATGTAGCTGGACCAGAACATTTTGCTACCCATGAGAAAAACCTCAGGGAACTGTCTCCTGCGGTTCCTCTTCATTCCCCCTGCACCAAGATTAACTCTGGACAAACTTTAAATAGATTGGATGTCTCTGCAAGCAGACAAGGTTTTTAAAAGGGGAAAAAAACAAAACAAACAAAAGAGCCCCACAAACAATAACCAACAAAACAAACCACAACCTTAGTTCCTAAAGTTTGTAACAGTTACTGGGCAGAGTCCTAAACTAGTATTCCAGATCTGAGAAACTGTGAAACTCACATTTCAGTAGCGTATAACCTGCAGGTTAGATCAGGCATACAATGGAAGATGGTAGCTGCAATTAATTTCTCTAAAGATTGCCAGGGAATTCAAGGAAAGGCTTTCATGTAAATTCTAGGTTTCTACTGAGCAAAACAGAAGTGTCACAGAACAGACTTAGTAACTGGAAACAAATAGGACTGGTGGTCAGCATACCTTCTCTGGAAGGAACACACACTAGCACATCCACCACAGTGCTCTGGAAGAAAAAAATAAGCAGACATACCTAGGCAAAACAGCATAAAGGAATTTCCAAAAAGCTTTTCATAGTGTTTCCTTCCAAAACCTCTTAAACTGAGATGTCAGGGGATTTATTAATGACCAGTTATGGATAGGGAAGGGTGAACTGTAGGAATAAGTCAAAGAATGGCAAGGAAAGGGTATGAAATTATATCATCTGCAAATCCCAAAGAGACAGAGGGGCCTTTGCAGGCATCTCTGTTGTTCAGTAAATTTAAAAAGGTGATGAGTAGGTAAGTGAGAAAGCTCATGTACTGTACAGAGCTATTCAGAAAAATAAAAACCAGACTGAGTGACAAGAACTGGAGAAGGTCGTCCTCATACTAAGCAAATACACAATAAAATCAGCAGCTGAAATTCCATGTTCATAAGAACAAACACAATGAAAAAGACAACTCCATTAGCTGCTTAAACCAACAGCCCCAGTTAGGTATTATCATTCAGGAAGAGATCCCAGGGTCACTATGATTAGTCCTCTGGAAATAACAGCTAACAGAACATTGAAGCAGAGAACAGGGATCACCATGATGTCTCTAAGAACACTAAGCTTCCCCAGCTGAAACACCACATGCTGGTATACCTTCCCTGTATAAAAGATAGAACAGACCTGAAAATGGTGCAAGAAGGTCAACCAATGCTTTCATGCAAGAAACTAAGCTACAACTTTTCAGCTACAAGAGACAGCAGCTAGATAAATAGGCCAAACATACAGAAAATAAATACCCATTGCTTCTTATAACACAACTGTTAAGCAGAATGAAATGAAACATTCAGCGCAACTGGAAAATAAGAGCTTTTTTCCATACAAAACAGTTAAACAGTGGACTTACATCACCATGAGGTGCTGTGAATGCTAAATATAAACTGGCTCCAACTCATTAAAAAACACCTATCAGCAGCTATTAAAGAGATGCAACCTCTGCTCAGAACTCCTTTAGCTCCAAACTGCAGTATACTAAAAGGATATATGGATAAAAGCATCACTGTACAACAAACCTGTACTTACAATCTTTATCTTTACATCTGCTGCCATACACTTCCAGGTAAGATGTTGACCCCAATGAGCCTATTACTCTCTCAAGTCCAAATGATAACCACTCCATGATTCTATATTAGTACCACTGCTTTCTCACAAAAACACATGAACCATCTTCCCCCCCACAATACTTACACTCTCAAATCTCCATCAATGCCTCCCAGTTTCCTACCTTCATTATCAAAATTTACGCAATAGGCTCACATTTTACTTTGCATGCCTCTTATTTTAAATCATTGCCCTAAAATTCTAACCATACCTCTGTAGCATATGGAGCCCCATGTAACTATTTCATTGACAGCATAGAAAGCAGTAGTGCTTTACATAAAGAGGGAGTGCAGTAATACTGTGAACAGACCTTGTCAAATTGAAATAGGCTTTGATGTAATTAAGAAAAAATATTTTTAAACAGACAGAGACACAAAATTCTTTACAGAACCTCTACTCTTACATCACGTGAAACTACCAGCTCAACCCGAGCAATCGTACATTCACTGACTCAGTAGAAACCTTTACAGCTCTCACCTCTTAGAGCATCTGACGCTTGTAGCTTCACAGAGATCAACAAATCGCTAGGCCTTCCAGCGGGGGGACAGCCGGCAAACCCAAGCCGCTAACCTAGCTCTCCCTCGTCCCTGCGATCAGCCGGAGCCTAGTAAGAAGGAGCACGTTAAGATCCACCGCCTCGCCGCGGCCAGAAAGGCTCCCCAGCCGCACGCAGCCCTTCCCCGGCCCGGCCGAGCGCAGACCGCGGAACCGGCGTTTCCCTCTCCGGGCTCCCACGGCCGGGCGAGCAGAGCCCAGCGCAGCGCCGGTACCTCCCGCTCCCGCCGCGCCGCAGAGCGCCCGTTACCCGCCACGCCTCGCGGGCGGGACGCAGCCCCGCGGAACCCTCCTCCCGACGCGCCGGTGAGGGGAGATCCGCGCACCCATCCGCGTAGCACCACCTGCTGCGGCTGCTGCCGGCGCCACGGCGGAGCAGCACAGAGGCGGCTCGGAGCGGGTGCGACTCTGCCTGGCTCGGCTCGGCTCGGCTCCACAACCCGCAGCTGCCGCGACCACCGCTCCAGCCCTTCCCCGGGCCCCGCGGGGTGACCCCCCTGCCCCAGCGTGACCCCGCCCCAGCCCTGCTCCCATTGGCTGAGCCGTTGCTAGGAGACCATCAACAAGGGCCTGCCCCGCCCCGGCGGGCTGTGGCGCCGCTATGGCCGCACCTGCCCCGCCATCAGCCGGCGGTGAGGGGAGGAGAAGGTGGGGAGCTGCAGGGGCTGGCGGCGGGAAGTCCCCGTGGGGCCTGGGCCCTCCGCTGCGCTGCGAGTACACGGAGTGGTGTTTTCTCCCCGCAGGGAGTTTCAGTGCCTGGAGATGAAAGCTTAAGAAGTCCTTCTCTGTGTCACGTCGTTATTCGAAAACAACATTTCTGTAAAACACTTTAAAGAAGACACCTTCATAGCTGATGGCGAGGGTTGTTCAGTGCTGTTGGAAATGAAGGCATTGCTGATTTGAGCAATTAGCTCACACCAAGAATCCCCGGCACTCACACAGAGCAAGCTGTGCCCAGACATCATAAAAATGGCTCCGTGTGGGAGACCTCATGTGTCCGACAGGTGGAGGAGCACCCAGACACCCTGTCTGGCACATGCCTTATTGCCCCGGTAACATCCGTTAAACTGTCTAGCATTATGTCAGTTAATATGTGAGGCTCCTAATAAAATTACCCAATAGAACTCAGTAAAATCAACTGAGTAATTGTGACCCATAGGATTTGGCTACTCTCACTATTGGGGTTTGCAAGACTGCAGCCTTCACTGAGTCAGTGACATCCTCATTGGTTGTTGTTGACACCTGCCACCTTCATAGCCGTGTACACCAAATTCTGCACTCATATGTAATGTGTGTGTACCTGCAGTATGTAATTCACAGTCCTCTGTGTTGCTGTAAGTTTGTTGACAACTCACATGTGTCTATCATTATATTTTGGTGCAGAAGAGGTCAGTTTTTAAGTTGCCTTTCCTAATCTGAAATTTTAATCCTAATTTCTTTCCATGTTAATAATAATTTTCAATAAGATCAGCCTTATTCTGTTTGGTTTTGGGTGATTTTTTTTTTGTTGGGTTTTTTGTTGTTGTTGGTGGTGGTGGTGGTGGTTTGTTTTGTTTTGTTTTTAAGATGAGGTCACCAGAACAGGTTCTGCTGAGTAAAATAACATTTTTAGTACATTTTAATTTCTAATGACTAATGAGTCTTTAAAGAATATTCAGATCCATTCTTTTTATATTTCTTTATATTTTCTCTAATAACTTACTTTTATTGGTCCAGTGTTCTCTTTACATCTAGTTTTGAGGAAAGTATCCTTTTGGAGGACCCAGTGCAAGTAACCACAAACATCTAACCACAGGGGAAGTGAAGAGATTGAGGAATATTTTTGTCAATATGTCAAAAGCTAGGATGTTACAGGTCAAGAAATAACAAAACAATTACTGAGAAAAGAGGCTGAAAATGCAGTAGACAAGTTGGCTGTTATGACTGGAAAGCCACCGTCACAGCAACTGGAATATTACATACTTATTTTTCATGGATTATATATTTATATACACTTTCATAAATTCAGTTATTCACCCAAGTCAGCAAATTTTGATTATTTTTCTGTATTTTCAGTGGAAGAAGATGGTAACACAGGATGCAGGCCATATGTTAGTATTTTCACTGTTACTGTCACCAAGTGAACAGTGATGCTCTGTGGTGAGCAAGAAGGGATTGAATAGTGAAAGAAAATGAGTCTTGTAGGTCTTCCTGCCACTAACATAGCTGTGATAAACCTCTTATATCTCTTACATGCTGCTTGCTCTGCTTCTTGATTCTTTTTAATTCATCATTCCTGGTTTTCAAAGGTCAGCCGGAGAATGGAAAAACACTGAACAAGGTCAAAAACAGCCTTTCAAAATTCTCACAAAATTTACCTCGCGGGAATGAAATATACTCTTGACATCAAGATTGGAAGTAAAGCTATTTCTCTTGTTTATGGGCAGACATCTCCCAAAAAGACTTATATATGGTTAGTAAACTGTCTGGCACTTGCTGTGTAGGAAGCAGACTTCAGCAGCTTGCAGAAATAGTGATTATTGTTTGGGCTTTTAGTACCTTTGCAAGATCAGTAATAAATATTTTTGATAACTACATTCTTTTTAGAGTTGTTTAGGTCACAGGAAATAAGTCCTCGTAGCAGGGATGTTTCATTTTATGACTCAGGTTAATTGCAGAGGCTTTGGCCCTTTATACTCTGGCTTTGTTGCAGGTGCACTCTGCAAGAGGAAGCAGACTCACACAGAATACATTAGTGGTAATGGCAAGAGGGATGACAGACTTTGTTCATGGGAAGGATTAAGGTCCTGGGGCTTTAAAAGATAATACATGGAGCGGGTGGTGCTGAATTCGCTTTGTCCATTTGATCTTAGCAGCTGTTCCTGAAGTTGATGCTATTCAAAAGAGAACTCCCCAAGCACTTTGCTGTGTATCATGGATTGGGTTTTCTTTATGGTTTTTTTTTAAGGGCTGGCCAGGAAAGGACAAGTCTTTGTGGGATACATTCAAGCAAGTGACGGGAAATTTTACCTTACGAAAAACTGTAGCCCAAGACAGTTATTTATTGATAATGCACAAATTTGGTATAACAGTCTTCCACAAAGCACAGTAAGAATTAAAACGCACTTTTCTGAAGTGGTTCATAACGGGATGACATATAGGTAGGATTTTTGGTGCTGGGAAAGGGTAGTGTCTTTGGAAGTTTTGGTTCCTAAGGGATACAGTAGAGGATAACATCTTGTGCTCTCTTGAGTAATGTCATACACATTCTGTAATGAATATCAGGTCTTTGACACTAACCCAGCCTTAAAAGTACAACTCTTTGAACAGTGTTTTTCTTCTTTACCTGTTTTTGCTTAAATCTAATTGGTGGAACTATCTGGAGACTCACTTTATTTTGCTTTAGGATTCAGCATTATAGGAGGAAAAAAAAAGGGGGGGGGGGGCGTTATTTCATAGCCTTTCCTCTATGTGATATAGATCATTATCCTTAAAATTAATTTTAGCCCCATTTCCTTTATAATCTATTGAATAAATTACTAGAGAGTTTTTGAAGAAGTGTTTATAATCTCTTCTTTGCAATTCTTTGCTAAAAAGTGGGATTAAGTATTATAAAGGGAAAAATATTAAAGAACGAGAGGAAGTGCGATGCTTTGGGAAGTGAAATATACAGAATACCTCTTAAAACTTACATTCAGGCTGGATTAAAATGTAACATGGACAGGAGGGCAAACAGGCTCCTACAATTTAGGAAGAGGTGGACTGATCCACAGTTTGTTTGCATTTCAATTCAAACTCATCTTCTTAAGTACATTCAAAAATGCTTTTTGTTGGCACAGTTTCTATAGCAGTGTCCTGCTTCATTACAAATCAGCAGGGCTGATGAACCATGGACTAGCAGAAGCTCATTAAAATGTCTGATCCTGTTATGCAGTAGGCCAGCGGCAGCCAGTGACTCCTTTATTGTCTCTTGATGTAAGAACTGCATCTCAACAAAGCCCAGCTCATAGGGCTTTCACATCTCTTTGTGGAGATGCATAAATATAATCTCATAAACCAGTCTGTGGGTTGTGCTGAGTCTGTTCGTTAAGGTCTGTTCTCAGTTCCAGCTCACACATTAGAAGCTCCAGTTGCATGGTGATCTTAACAGATACCTCCAGAGCCCATTGGAGACTCCAAAGATGCAGGAATCTACAGCAGAATTTAGGTAGGCTTTACCTATTTGAGCCCACCTGTGTGGTCAAGTCCTTCCTTTCCCCTTCTGTATTACTACATGGGAGTCACTTGGATCAGTATCTAAAAGAAATTCAACTTTTGTCTGAAAGTTCCCTCTGCTTTTACACTTGGACTGTGAGATTTCAGGCTAATTCCTGTTAGATTACAAAAATGTAGAGAAAAGGTGGCTATCTTTCCCCAGGGGTTTGACCAAGCACATCAACAGTCACAGAAATATCCCTGGGATGAGATGGTTTTGCTGTCTGGTGAGAGCATCCCCCACCCAAGGCTTTGTCCCAAACCAGTGCCAGAGAAAGCAAACAAAGCACTGGGGACCCAAGGCAATGTAACACAAAAAGGATGCTGACTCTGCAGCAAAGAAACTACAGACAGAACTTTTGAACAAGAGTGCCTCAGGGTGAGTGACAGGATGCCAACTAAACCACGGGCTATCACTGTTTCACTGCTCCTCCCCATACATGTCTGCATGTTTTTGCACAGGCACTGGTTTTTATTGCCCTCCTCTGATTCAGTTCAGCTCACTATTTCTTTTATTTTTTTTGTTGGGCTAGTGTTTTAACAGCTTAGCAAGTGAATTGTGTGAATAAAAGTCCTTACAATCTGAAAAAGTGAGTGAGTCCAACATATGCTAGAGTCAGTACAAGACAATCCAGGGTAGGAGAGAGGGAAAAGAAAGAAAGGGTGTAGGAACGGGACTTCCCAATTTTAGTATCGGTGAAGTAAGTGTTAGATCACTTGTCTCTTTCATGGAGCTACACCCTCACATTTGTGTCTCTGCAACTTTATTTCTGGTTAAACATGGGAGCAGATAACTCATTTAACTATTTCCACACAATATAGCATCCAGATTTTCCTTTCCATTCTGGGAGGCAGGCACCAGGTAAGCTTTTATTGGATTTACCCAAAGACCTTTGGAGAAGGATATCAGGTGGCTACAATGCCTGCAGCAATTCCGGTTCAGTGCTGAACCATTTTCACACTGTTACTAGTTCAAGGGAAAACTTTCATGAAGCAACGTAGACAATGACAACTGTGTTGAAGGGTTTCAGTGATGCAGATAGTTCATGAAAAATTTTGATCTTAGTAGCTCTAGCAACTTGTGCCATGAAACAGTTGTTCTTCTTCCCACCCTGTCCTGTGCTACACATACACCATCATCAGAGAATATGTGCAATATTTTGCATGTCTGCTTCAATCTCCATCTGAAAAAACTTCACAAAAATCTGTTCAACATCTCACATGCATGAAATACC